ATGGAAGTAATAAAACAGTTATACACTACTGTGAACCAAATATGGCTCTTCACATGCTATATTCTTCTAAAAAATTTCTACCTATAATAATCAGGATTTGCAAATCTTCAAGTTAAGATTCACTATTTTATATTAATGTAAGAACTGTGATTGCTTAAATTGTCAATTAAATCATGCAGTAAATAAGCAAACTTTTAATTAGTAATTTAATTTTTAATTTAATTTCTAACTTATAGTTTTAACTGATGGAGGAAAGTGGAAAATTGCAGGTGGAATAAAGACATGCGGCATTTATCTTTTACCTTAAGGAAAAAATATTTTCTTCTAAGGTGTATTAAATGAAGAGTTAAAAAAAACTAACCATTATTAACTTAAATGATTGAAAAGACTCCATTTCTTCTGAATTAGTTTTTAAGCTAAGTTGAAATGACTGCTTAATATTTCGTTCGATAGAGGAAAATTCTGTAAAAAAATTAATTCCTTTATAAATAAATGAAAGAATATTTGCAATAAAATGGTTTCATTTCAAATTTGGGACGAATATGTGAAAAGAAGAAAAGAGAAATTATTATTCGAATTTAAAATCTGTAAAAAAAGTGAAATGAATTTATGCATTTTGAAATAATTTCCTTTTAATTTGTTTACAAATGCAAATTAATTATTAAATTATTGAATTTATAAAATCAAAATAATTAAAAATGAGGCCATAAAATGAAAAAGTAAGAAGAACAAATTGTTGTCCATATTAGCAAAATAAATCAAAATAAAGAGGAAAAATTATTTCGAATAAAAATTTTAAATTATTTGAAATGAATCCCGGATGAATATTTCAACACGCTGTAAATTTCAGCATCACATTTCAGTTGACTTAATTAAATTAATCAGCGATTCATACAATTTTTTGTATTGCTAAACACTCGTAAAGATTATAATGAGTTCACATTATTTCAAAAATTAATAGTAAGACGATTGAATCATTTTTTCAAACATTCAATCATCAAAAGAGCTTTTGCATGTACAGTCATTGAATTGGTTACATTATGAGGACTTGACAGTTCTTTTAGGATCTTTTCTCAGTTTGCAAGATTAATTGAACTATGAGATGTAAGATTCGGTATAGGAAATATATTTCAAATAGAAAAGACAAAACATTTCTGAAGGAATCTGAAAGTTAATTTTGCTGCTAATGACATATTTTCAAGGGCGGTTTCCGATCAAATAAAAAAAATGAAAATAACAATTTTTAAACTAAGGTAAGATTTCCCTCCTCTAATTGAATTAAATAGAAAAATTTTTATTAAATTTTTTTTGTCTTGTATGTTGTAATTGTTAGGCTGTACAAGATCAAAATATTATTTTGAAAATATTTAAAAATATTATACTTATAATAAATACATTTGCAGTGACATACATTCGCAATTAGCTCCAACTAAAAAATTATTTTAATTGAAACAAAAATATATCATAATTATTTGCCCTTAATGAGTTACAAATTAAAAAAATGAATGTAGAATTTCAACGGATGCAATCAAATTGGGTAACATTGTTCGAATTTTTTATTTTTACTTACACATAGTACTTTGAAGATAATTTTTGCAAGTGCGCAATTTTCTTGCAGAAATTTAATTTTTTTTAAAAAGTTAATGATTCAGGACTGTTCAGGTAGACGAGACATCAATATTGTCAATTCAGTTTTTTCCGTAAAATTGAAATTTTACTTACGATATTTATCAAATGGGAAATGCAGCACTGCTCCATTCTGTAGTATATAGGGTTAATAAAGCAAGAAGTAATTGAAATGATTTACCGCGAGATAGAGGTAAATGAAAATGATGGGGCAACGACGGAAGAATGCTACTGTTTAAGTTGAAATTGCATAAAAAGTTGTTACATATCGATCGTAAACAGAAATTTTTGAAAATTGTCTCAGAAGAGAAAATTGCGATGAAAGGAGAAAGAGAAAGATTTATTTAATAAGCAAAATTTTCGTCGTAAATATTCCTTGATTTGAATTATTGTTTTCTTCAGTAGCACTGATTGTTATGCAATTAATTGGGTAGCACTAAATATCGTTATTTTCAAATTTGACTTGTTTATCTATCCTTTCTTCATTTCTTTTCCACAGTTAAAGTTTAGCTTTTTTTTGAACAACAAAAATTCAGTCGGCATTTCTTTCTATTTAGCACCTCTTCTCCTTCCGCTCTCCTTAAAAAAAAACGAAACACTTGAGATGTAGTAAAACGAGCAAAAATTGGTTCAGGACCCGTTTTTCTGCACTTGGAGCGGGAAGAAAATGTAGATATTGGGCATGACTATATTCATTTCATATCAAATTACCTGTCCTGCGTCTATTTTCAGTACATTTTTCCTAGGTGTGTAACTTATATACACCTTTACTACGTTCTTATCAATTTTTGAATTTACTAATACGCTAAAAAAAATATAGGCAGTAGGTTTACGCTTTGAAAAGGTCTTTCGAACAATATCAATCAACCAATTGTAAAAAATGAAATGAAAAACATGAATTGGTACAGTAATGCAAATAAATGCATCGTTTATATATCAGTTGCAACAACAGCGCTATCAGAAGTAGCAACGTTACTAACAATCGCTAAGACTAAGGTTATCGCTTTTTAGTGAAGCACCCGAAAGTTACGATATTTTTTGTTCTTTCTTAAATTTTCATTGTCCGTCATCTGCCATGATCTTGTTTGTTGAAGATCAGTGCAATATTTTTATTATTCCATAGGTTATAATTAATCTAGCTAAGAGATAAAAGATTGAATATCATTATAATTGATATCTTAGCCTTACCATTTACTTACTGCTTACTTTGCCTCACCTCATTCAGAAATAAATATATGATGGGATCTTTATTCCCATATTATGAAGTAATTCTTCCTAATTCTTGACTTCTTATATTATTTGATATCAGAGTTCTTTGTGACAAAAGAAAGTTTTGGATTTCAAACTTCTTCATTATATTTGATTGAATTTGCTTATTTCTTTTAGATTTCAAAATTTTCGAACCACGAAAAGTTAATTTAATTTGTCCCACTCCTTATTTGAATATTGGTGATATTAGTATACTTTGAAATTTCTTTAATGCGTCATAAATAGATAAATGAAAAGAATTAATTTTTTAACTTCAAAAATATTAATAATTTTCATATGTACTTGTTTTATAACAATGCCTTAAGTACTTCTATCTTTACGAAAAGTTTCATAGGCTGAATAAACAAATCTGTCAGCGTTATTTGGTGAGTAAAGTCTCTAAACTATAAGCATAGCAGTAAACTGTCAGCAATTGATTATAAAGTATGAAATTTGCAAAAGTCTATATTCTAGATTGAATTTAATTTCTATTATATACTGGAGTTGGTCAAAATAATTTATTCAGCTTAGCATTTTTTTTCCTTCAGGAAATAATTTTGTTACTAAGCTTGAGCTTACAAATTTGTGTCATTATTAAATTAGGAACACTATGTGGGATATTTATCATGTTGTTAATGAGGACTTAACAAACTAGCTTTTATCAATGGATGAGACATGGTGATTCAATTTGTATAATTACCTGACATTAGATTGCACCTTAATTGTGAATGGTGTTTTTTTCATTGAACATTTCTTAAAATTTAATAAAAAAAACGATGGATTTTTCAACAGAAGTAAATTAATGGTACTTTTTAAGAACGGTCCACAATCTTGTAATTGTAATAATGGCTATAGTTTATCTGTCGTAACAAATCATTCCATCCAGATATTATTTGCCATGTCGATTTTTCCTTCATGCAAACGAATGGAGAAACAAACACAAACATAAGCAATTCTACGATGGGAGTTTACTGGTGGTTTATGAGGAGGAGAAAAATAAGGAGAGCTTGAGATGAAACTTGTTTCTGGTAGCTTTTTTTACATTACTGTCAACTGACGATACTGTTCACTGCTGCCAATGAGTTGATATTTTTTACCTAATTTCAGAAGCCGTTTATGATTGAAATTCTTTTACCAAACGAATAAAGTCAAGGTCAATTTTATTCTACTCGTTTCTTCTCCCCATTTATTTATTTCAACAATTTTAACAACTTTTAAAGCAGCAGTAAATAACAATTAATAATAGTTATATCGAGCGAAAAATCATACTCTGTAATGATTGGTAAAGATCTCACATGTAATCTTTTTTTAAAAGCAATCAATTCTCAGAATTTATTTCGCAGTAAATTTATTGAGTAGACGAAACATAAACAGTATATATTGCCATTGATATGTAAGAATTTCCGTTTGAATTAATGTTGATATTTGAAGCTTTTGAGTTATTGTGCTTGAAACAGGTAACTAAAAATTTGTATTTTGCTTATAGCTTTTCAACTAAAATTATCAGTTGTGTGCAGTTTTTGTTTAACAAAAAATGGAGATGAAACTTCGATGCGAAATGAGAATGAAGAAAAGACAGAGGTTGCTTTACTCAAACGATTCTGATTAAATGAATCAATTTATGTATTTTTACTAATGTTTTCTGATCTTCCGATCTCACATAACTTATATATCGAAAGAATGCTTTTTTTTTCTTTCAAATTATGAATACAAAAAGAATAAAAAGCTGTAAAATATAATTAATCTATTTGCTTTTTAATCGCTTGTTTCCGATACAATTAGATAATACTTTCATTTTAATTCTTGCAAATATTATTTGTTGTTAATTAGATTGTGCTAATTATGCTGCTGCTAGCTTCTTCAGATTTTTAAGCTTTTCAAACTAATTCTCACGACTGTATCCACATTAGCGAGCGATAAGTTCTGAGCGATAGTGCAATGACCGCATATAAAATAGAACCTGAAAACGAATTTATGGTTTCCGTTACATCGTCGATAATTGATAAAAATGCCGAATTTGAATTTTCATTTGCTAAAGAATTTATTGAAATTGAGTGTTATTGCAAAATATTTCGCAAAATTTTCATAAGTATAAAAAGGATAAATATTTTCAGCAAAAGATTGAAATGGAGTATGAGAAGTTGAAAAAAGTAGAAGCAAATGAGTTACGACATTCAGCATTCTTTGGGATTGCAATTTCAACTGTTGCAACATTGACAGCAATTGTTGCAGTACCAATGCTGTATAATTATGTGCAGCATGTGCAATCGTCATTGGAGGGAGAACTCGAATTTTGCAAATACAGGACTGACGGGCTATGGAACGAATATCGAATTGTATAACTTCATTTTAAAGTCTTTTAAAGAAATTTTATGTCACTCTCAAAGATTCTAATTCAATTGTAGTAATGCTATATGTAGTTTTGTGGAGCTTGCAAAACCAGATATTAAATAATTATGCTAATTTGAAATTAAAGGATGTGTGTTAAATAGAACGAAATTTATCTAATTATACGAACAATCATTTGATTTTTAACAAAATTACTTTAAATCTTTTACTTCTTTATTTGCTCACTTCTAGATAATCCATAAAGTTAAAAAACCATTTTAGATTGAAGAAGCTACTGGTTGGCAAGGCAGGCTAAAACGGGGAACGCGTTATCGTCATGCAGGAAAAACATCAGCAGGAGAAAATGGCGCAAGCACTTATTCAAATGCTGCCGGATATTTGCCGCCTGATGCTGGTGTTAAGACCCCACCGGCTGATTCTCATGTATGTTGCAGCTGCGGTGTTGGAAATGCGGGTCCTCCTGGACCTCCAGGAAATGATGGTAAAAAAGGTATGTTATCAGTGAATTGTAAAATTGAGGGTAGTTCAGATATTTCAAATCAAATCTCAATCTTCACCTTTCTTTTTCAATTATGCATGGTTGAAACGTACAACTTGGTAGTTCTCTCAAATCTCCGACACTTTCAAGCTATAATTGAAAGGTTATGCTGTTATTTCAAGATTATTTTTAGGAGCTGATGGGGCGCCAGGCAACGACGGTACTCCAGGGCAGGATGCCTCACCAGATGCTGTGCCGAAACCCGAAGACTTCTGCTTCGACTGTCCAGCAGGACCAGAAGGACCGCCGGGTGAAATTGGACCCAAAGGACCATCTGGACAGCCTGGCACATCAGACATGGGCGAAAAAGCTTCATTGATAGGACCACCAGGTCCACCTGGACCACCTGGACCAGCTGGAGCAATGGGTGAGATGGGACCACCTGGACCACCTGGTTTACCCGGCGAAGTCAAACCGGCATCTGAAACTGCTGGCCCACCAGGACCCGATGGACCAATAGGACCAGCAGGGCCACCAGGACCACCTGGCCCACCAGGAAATGCTGTTCCTGGACCTCCAGGGTTGCCTGGAGATGCAGGATTAGATGGCGCTCCAGGACATCCCGGAACACCAGGAGAAAGTGGTAAAATGGGAGTCGCCGGCGGCAGTGGTTCGTGTGACCATTGTGCACCACCGCGTACTGCGCCTGGGTATTAAGATTTACCGCAAATTGCTGATTAAATATTATTCCTGTACCGTTCTAGAAACAACAATAGCTTTCTTGAATTATACTGACAAAAAATCTTAACATTCTAAAAAATTCAGTTTTTTTGTTTGGAAAAGGTATTTCGAACAAAATTGCTGACTAATGTTGCTTAATTATGCGAAACGTCGCAATTTTCCATAAAATTCCCATAAAAATTTCTCAATGAATTTACAGAATCTACACAAAACCTATTTTATGGCTTACTTTCTTTTCATCTTTAATTTTGTTAACTTTCATCATGTCAAGTATTTAATTTTATAATTAAATTACTGCTACGTATGCAATCTTACTGCGAAAAAAATTTCTTTATTTCTTTTTCTCTCTCTCCCTTCCTCGATATTCTTTGGATTAGAGATGATTTATTTGAGTAATTTTATTCAAAAAATAAAAATAAAAAATACATTTATTATGAATTCGAAATCAGTTTTAGATCATTTTTTCCTAAATTAGTTATAAAATGTTGATTAGTAAGCGATTGTTTAATAATTCATTTCGCATTTTGATATTGCAAGTCATCTGTGTTCAGCTTTGATAAATAAAATTTAAAATGATATATTGTTTGAAATAAAGCAGCAAATTTAGTTTATAAAATAAGAGTAATATAAGAAATTTCAATTAACTGATGCCTTAAATCAGGTGGAAAGGATTCTATTGTTAACTGAGGCTTATTAAAGTCATAAACTGATCTTTTTCTCTCCCAAGCATTATACGAATTTGATGTTCAATTGGTACCATTTTGGAAAAGTTGCTTAAGAGCATTACAATTCTTTGATTCTCAAGGATTCCTCAAATTAGTATAAACATCGTTCGTTGTAAAGATTTAAAGAAAATTTACATTTGCAGTTGCTTGATGTTAAAGTTAATGAAACTTGTAAAAAAATTCGAAACTTACAATTTCTTGAACTTCCAAACTGAAACCTGAGAATTTTTATTGTGTTCACATCAAATCGTAATTTTAAAATTCTTTGGATTAAGCGAAGCATTTAAATTTTTATGCGGCCTCTCATCCACCGAATATGACATTTTGAAATTACAAAAAAATATAAGCAGACGCGACCATCACATATTTCTTTTCTCATTAAAATAGGTTCTTAAAATAATTGGTTACCGATGAAGCTGCTGAAAATGTGGCGAATTATTGGTTGGTTACTAAATACCAATTAATTATCAATGAATAATTTCAATAAATCAAAAGAGCACCGCATTCAGGATATGTTGCATGTGAAAAGCAAAGTCTTTCCCCAACTATCTTCACTGAATTTGACCAATTTTCATTTAAATTCTCTAAACTTTTAAGAATATATCATAGTATATTACTGTCAATTTTTCATTTCTAAGATTTTCACAGACTATGATTATTTTAATAGAAAAGTTATTTATTTATTTAAGGTAGTAATGGTTTTTTTTAGAAAGATAATTTTCCAGTTAAGCCTCAAAAGGCAAAACAAAATCCTGCCGGATCACAATAAAAGATATACCCGAATAAGCCAATATGGTTTTCAAAACGATTTTTAGTGACTATATAGGATATTATTAAAGAACTAAGTAATCAGAATTTCTTTGTCACAATTTAACAAACCAGATATCACAATTTTGCTGAGAGATTTGAAATCACTCACAAATTTACGAACAGAACTGCAAATATTTCAGTTGTGGTTTTGGAGCAACTTATCTCAGTTAAGATTTACTATTGTTGAAAGAGCCACTCAATCAGACTGAATCCGTGATTGATGGATAATTGAAGTGACACGGATTTTCTTTGCTGATGCTTGATTGAAATTTCAGTAATAATAAAATATCAGAAGGAAAAGTGACTTGAATGATAAAACATCAGATAGATATAATGTATTTCGGTAAATATGAATAACGAATGAATAATTTACTTAAAGAATATGTGAAACCGCAACTGAAATGAAAACTGAGCTTTCTGTACCGAGGAAGAATTCATTCGAAATCATTATTATAGGAGTTAATTATTTTATTGCGCTTCTCAATAAATCTTTTTTATATTAAATAATTGATTCTCTAGCCTATGATACCATAATTTCAAGTGATTCCTGAATTCTAAAATGCTAACATACCTCCATATTCCATAGACTATTAAGCATTGCTGTCATCACTATTATTAATAGTTTTATTGGAATAATTAAAGAGTCATAAGAAAATAACGATGCTTCTCTTTCTGGTATAGAGATATGATTATTCTGTTGTTAATGAAACTCCTTCTTCACTTATTCACATGTGAAAATAAAAATTTCCAATGGATTCATTCTATTTAAATCATCGAAAAGTATTTCTCACAATTTTAACATCGTTCCGGAAATACTTAGGATGTACAAAAGGCGCATAAAGTGTTGGATGTGATTTGATACATCTTATTGTCAATCATGATTTGTGACAGATATCCACTTGATGAATATCTTTATTAAGAACACAAAATAGTAATGTATTTTAATGAATTCGATATCATTTCAATCGAATACAACAACCTCGTGTTTAAGTTTTAGATTTAATCCTAATGCTTTTGTGAATTAAAAGTCCAAGTCATCTGATCAATTTCGATTCCCTTACAACATTTTTGTGATCAATGCTTCACTTTGAATTTAATGAAGATTACTTCATTCGATTACTTCATCGTTATTCAATTTTCATTCCATATTTCTTGCATGTAACTTTGAATTGATGTTTCCATATACAATTACAGAATTGCTTTGCTTGATAAAGACTGCGAATTGAATAAGATGTCCACGAACCAATTTAATAACTTTTAATTGATCTAAAATTTCGAAGCACAGCATCTTTCAATTGTTGCCATATAAGTTGAAAAGAAAATTTTGATACCAATTATGCAATTGCATTTGGCAAACAATTATCTTCTTCATTGTGATTAGAATAAAAGTAGTTCCGCGATTATTATTGTTATTATCATTATCATTATTTTATTCAGCAAACTTGTTTTAAAATTTATAGAAATGTAATTTTGAATGGAAGAATGTAATTTTGAATTTTAAATAAATAAAAGACTAAAAAAGAAAGCTGCAATCAGTGGAAATTTCTCGTTGTATTATTTGTTAAAGGATTTCTGGAATAATTTCTAAAATTCCTGTGCTGAATTCTGCAACTCTCAGTTTAACCTGAAAATGGAAAAATATTTCTGAATGAATTTTTATAGATTGTTTTCCATGTCATCTGTTTTCATTTTGATATTCCTCTTCTCAAAAATTTTATTGAGCTTCACACTTTACATACTTTATCCAACGAGGTATGCATACAAATGAAAATTTTGCCTATACAATTTTATTTAGTGCCTTTTCTATCAGTTTATGTTAAGGACGTTTGTAAATATATAAAAAACATTTTCTCGAATTAATTGAAAAAAAATTATATCATGTTCAATTTTACATTTTTAAGATATCAATTTTGAAAACTTCATTTAACTAATTAACAAACAGATTTATTTTTATCAGTGAAACTCGTATTAGATGTAAGAAAACATGCAACTGATATTTTTTTCGCTCAAAGTTTTGAGTACTCAACATGATGCATTATATAATAATTTATGGTATTATTCAACCTCTTAACGCAACCGGATGAACGTTTTTTTTCCTATGCCGGACCCAGAATACATGAACAGAATTCATCTATCAATTAATTTTGCAATTTCACTCTACGGTGTTCTCTTTCTTCTTTAACCGTTCGTTTCGTTGAATTACTGATCTTTATTGATATCTTATCAAGAATATGCCTATTTACTATCATTTTATAAATTATATTGCCAATTTACTATCATTTTATAAACTATGTAATAACAATTCTCATTTTTTTTGTTCACCAAAATAATTCTCTTTTTAAACAGCTTGAAGATAAGCAATGATAATCTCTTATTTTTGTGAATTAACAATAAAAACTGTTTATGTCTGCCGTTTCTCGACTAAACATTTCTCTGTCTGTAATCCTTGTTTACACCTAAATATAAAATATGTAGAAACTTAAACAAAAATCAGTTTATCCAATGTTCAAAGGTCATATGTTTTGCATTTAAGTATTTCGCATATGATTGCATGTTTTAAAAAAACGGTCCTGGAAAAGGGCGTTAAAATAAACAGCAATAAGTTGATAGAAATTTTAAAAATTGTCTTCAATTATTACAAAAAGTTCTTCAGAGTAGTAACACAAATTGCAAAAATTATTCTATAAGCACATATTTCGAAATTTAATTTTCAAAGAGAGATTAGGTAGTATCGGAAAAAAAACCTGTTTCATTAATAGTCTTTGTTGTCATTCTAACTAAAGTTAATGATTGTTTTGGGTGAAATCAATTTTGTGTCATGGAATGGTAGGATGTCATCTTATCATCACGAAGTGTAATTTTTTCCTAAAAACTAAGGAAGTTATGATTTTTTTCCCTCTAAATAATACTATTTCATTTTTTCACATATTTTTAATTTGTCAAATATTCACATTAACAAAAATATGACAGCTTTGCGGCAATTTGAAATATTCAATTGGGAAAAGAAGATTGAAAATAGAAAAGCATTTTGTTTGAATGATGATGATAATTAAGATTTAAGATTCAATTGTCAAAAGAAGATTGGAATTAAAATAAGAAAGAAGTGTTCTGTGATAACAAATTAAGTAAATATGTTACATACACGTATAAAATGGTGAAAGAATTTTCTCATTTCACAGATAATCATCGTAAGTAATTGAATCATTATTTTATTTATTAAACATCAACAAATATTTTCTAGGAGTCTTGTTTAATCTATCGGCCAATATGTTTCATTTTCAATTTATTAAAGAAATGTTTATAAACAAAAAGACAAATAAGTTTTAAACTTTAAACTCATTAGTCTAAATCTTCCATACTGCACTGTAAAATTAATATTCTAAATTGCAGAGCGAAAAATTCTTGCCTTAAACAACTTGATGCAAAGTATTTTCAAGCATT